GAAGATTAATTTTAACTGACTGTGGTGATGATCCAAAGAGACTCTCTTTGTGGAGCATGGAAGATGGCAAGAAGCTATGGTGCATATCTTTGCAAGATAACGTTGCATCTTTTTCTATTTCCCAAGATGGATCACTCGTCGCAGTCGCAGATAGTCCTGGGTCTGTGTTAATTATTGACTCGGAAACAGGGGAGGGACAATGTTTGTGGAAAATCAAATATATCCTATGTGGACTAATGCACCTCGCCTTCAATGTTAAGTACACCCTCACTTGTGGTTATCTAGGTTTCAGGTCCGAAGACGTTGGACACAATCGATACCGTTGGGTGTGGAATGGTGAGAATCGGTACCAAATATGTTCATTCCAAAAGGAAGATCTATTCTCTTCCTCACCAGGCGTCTCATGGCCGTTGCTTCCGACAGGCAATTTTTTTTTATGGCCTATTGATTTAAGAACTTTGGACTTAGACGACTTTTACAAGCAAAATGGAGTGAACTGTCTGGTGAAGAGTGTAAGGCGTGTTTTTCCAGATTTAAGTGCAGGGTTTTACACGAGGTTATCAGACAATTCAATACTGGCCAGTAGCCCATCTTTCAACTACGTTGCGTTGTTAGACGTGAGTCATCGAGATTGTTCATCTGAAAGCTCAGCAGTCAATGAGGTGATGCTTTCACCTGAGGGAGATACTCTGTACTCCATTTGTTCGGATCACAGGTCTTGTGAAGTGACCGTTTTAAGATTGTCGAATCAAAACATTTTAACGCCGAAGAAGTCTTTCCTTGTTCCGTCTCTGTTTCTTCTCCCTGTGAAAGAAGGCGTTGTACTTAGTATGGGGAATGGAGTACCAGAGCTGTGGAATTTTGAATTGACCAGACGTATTCGACCTCTTCCCAAATTGAGTGGCTACGAAAGGCTTTCTCGTGTATCACATGAACTCATAGCTTGTCAAGGGCAGAGCCATTATTTAACGGAAAAGGAGGTTACAAGCCAATATCCGTTATTTGAAGGAACCCACCTTCCGGAATTGGGAGTTTCGTATTCACCAGTGGACACTGAAACAGCTTCGGGTGTGCATGATTCAACAGAAATTTCAGATAATGCAATTTCACCCAACTCATTTGATTTTGCACTGATGCAACTGTGTTTTCCTCTTTTAAGCTTAACCGCCGATAGAATGCTTGAAGTGGACATCTTCAACGTTACCACTCAGGAGTTTATCTTTTCAAAGGTTTCTCATGACGTTGCTATTAAATTTGTTTGCTGCAATATTCGGGGTGAGTTTCTCGTCTGTAGTTGTGAGGAAATAGACGATGACTTTTTTGAAATAGAAGAGTTGACATTTTCGTTGAGAAAGAACGGCTCCCACAAAAATTTGTGGGAAAGAAAGAGTAGGAAGTTTTTTGGAGAATCTTTTTCGCCCCGGCTTATTTTTTCGCCCACAGAAGAGTTTATTGTGACTTGGGGTTCCCTCGGTGAAGGTGATGGTTTACATATCCTTGATGCTAGATGCGGTGAAACGAGGCAGAGTCTGCTTAAAAACCGCGATGACATTGTTGACTGCAAATTTGCTTGTGACGACGAGTCCTTGCTTTGCTGTACTAGTGACAACTTCCTTCGATTGTTTCAAATAAGAACCGGTGACCTGCTCTGCATACTCGACATAGAGGAAAGACCGTTCAGTTTGGGGGCCTCCGCACGTGAAGATCTTGTAGCCGTTGGTTTGTCGTCGGGTAGATTGAAATTTATCCATGTGGAGCTACCAAGAAGAAAAGAATCAGACCGTAAAGGTATAAAAGTAACGGATCTATAGGCGTTGGCTTTTGATCTGTTATTGTTCACTTAAGTTTATAACGATGGTACAAATCATAATTAAACAAGACAGTCGACTTTATAAGCCATTAAAGTACTTATTTACACTGTTTTATTCAATAATTTTCTTAGCTGAGTTGAATCAATAGATTTATCTTTTTTATTGTAATTATTTTAGAATCTACTGACGGTTTGCATGACTTGTTCATTTCTAAATACACATTAGGAAGAGAAAGGATGAGTTAAAGCCGGGTTTTTGTTCATTTATACTTTTCAGAAAACTAAGCTGAAATTCAAACGTCCTTCAATGAATTAAGTTTTGTGGCCATTCGGAACTCTGCACCAATTCACTTTAAAGTTAACATGTCTGTTTATCACTTGCAGGCTCACTGACCAAAACCAAATGGAAGTGAATGGAAGAATCTTAAAGCATTTTGCTGCTCTCGAGAATCGTCACGTAACATTGAAACAACTCTCAAAAAGGAATCCACAGAAGGATACTGACTGTACGCCGATCAGTACAATGACATGTGGACTTCTCCTCCGACGCCTTCTTCACCTTAAGAATCCAACATTCGAGACCTGATACGTTTGCTCGATTTGCATCTTTTTTTCTTTTTGTTATGAGAATTTCAGTTTAGCTTGCATTGAAGAAATTCGATAACTTTTTCTTCGTAAAATACAAAGGCTCGCCTTCAGCTGCTATTGATGTCAATTCCACAGTTTGAGCTGAAGAATTCAAACATCTCAAGCGACGTAGAAGAGAAAATGCACCAGCGGGGCTTCAAATGTTGTCGTTTTTGGCCAATAGCTTGAGGGCAATTAAACACGTGACTTGTTTTCAAGTGCGGCTTGTTTTCTTCCTCTCAACTTTAACTCTTCATTCATACTCGAAGTATGATTGTCTTTTGAATTTGTTAACACTAGAAAATGTCATGCAATGTTTTGGTCTGGACATTGCATTATAGAACGCCGGCAGACAGGAGAAAAAGGTGTCCCAGGCACTCTAATGAAACCTTTTAGCTCGGAATCTTTGCAGGGCATCAACTCCTCTGTTCATGCTTCTCTTCACCCCAATCTCCCCCCAACCCTCCTCCCGTAACCCAGCTAAAGATAAAACATGCTAAAAAAAGACACTCATACACTTAAGAAGTCTTGCGGTTAACTGAGGCAGACTGATCGTTTGTTTTTCTCTGGAGTGCATCGGCGTAAAAATGAACTAAAGTCAGTCATTCATGTAATTTGCTGCTATACACATTTTTACAAAACAAATAAAGAGCACGGCAGCTCTTGTTTTCAATATTTTAAACTGATCGTACCACTGAGCACTGATGATTGAAGAGGAGATTGAGACAAACTGAAAAATATCTATCGGCGAACACAGGTGATACCAGAATTCCTATCAAGATTTTTTTTTCTGGGTGTGAATACTCCCGCTCTCAATGCGTGAATGTGCAGTCTCGTTTGAAAAATAATCGACCGCTTTACATTGACGAAACATCCCTATCCCACACCCTTTACTTGTCAATGATTTTAACAGATTATTTGTGAGCGTTGAGGAAAAAAGGTTAGGGTCTGCGTGGAGCTTTTAATTTTGACAAGGCACACAGCGTAAGCCGGAGGTCGTTCAAATGAATAGCAATCGTAGATCAATCGTGCGATCTTTCTCGAAACTGTGCTCGGCCATTAACTACTGCATCAATTTCTAAACACAATTTTGAAATTCCGGTGCACAACTATGTTGTAAAGAATGAGCATATCGTACTTTTAATGATAATGAAACTTTTAATGCCACTCTGTAATAGAATAGAAAGCACAAATTCTAAAGCTATTTCTTAACATTTCTGAAATGATCATGATGATGCGTCTGGTTGCAGTAAATACTACTGTTAATTCCTATTTCAATTCAATGAATGCCGAATAACTTCAAACTCTGTATTGGCGCTTAAGATGTGATAATGAAATTCTTTCTGCGGTAAATTTCCCCTCAGTCTCGCAACCAATGAAGTTCGTGATTCAGTCTTACCGTGCACATTTATCGTAATGTATT